AAATGTTGTTATATGGGAAGTAGGCGTGGTTGTAGTCCGATTTCGCCAATTTTCGCAATATAACATAAAAATATGAAAAGAACGTTATGCACCAAATTTGGTTGAAATCGGTTAAGCAGATCCCAAGATATGGGTTTTCAGCGAAATTTTGAACGCGGTTCCTATAAAGTCATCTCATACCATCCCAGGGATAAAATTTAATGTCTCTGGCGTGTTTAGTGCTTGATTTATCCCGCTTTTAGTAGTTTTTAACAGTACCGTTATATGGGGAGTGGGCGGAGTTGCCACCCGATTTCAACTATTTTCACAAGGTCAATTGAAGTGCTAAAACCATTTTCTTCCAGTGAATTTTGTTATTATAGCATTAGCGGCTTAGGAGATATGCACATTAAACCTATTAGAAGTGGGACCACGCCCACTTTTTAAAAAATTTTTAACTGCAGATGCCCCTCCCTAATGTGATCCTGTGTACCAAATAACAGTCTTGTATCTTATTGCGGAGCTTAGTTATGGTAATTTATTTGTTTTTAATTATTAATGGCGTTTTGTGGGCGTGGCAGTGGTCCGATTACGCACATCTGCAATACTAACCGTCTCACGGTACCAAGAAACATGTCTACCAAGTTTCATAAAGATATCTCAATTTTTACTCAAGTTAGAGCTTGCACGGAAGGACAGACAGTACCCCGGATTTCAACTCGTCTCTTCATCCTGATAATTTATATATATATAACCCTATATCTAACTCGATTAGTTTTAGGTGATACACACAACCGTTAGGTGAACAAAACTATTATACTCTGTAGCAACAGGTTGCGAGAGTATAAAAAAGCGTATACAAAAAGCACAAGAACGATTTCTCATAATTTGAGTAAATTTAGTTTACAACTTGCTCTAATTATTTTCACTGTGAGTGAAAAGTAAATAACTAAGGCAACAGTTCCTACTTCTAATTATTAAAATATATATAAAAGTCTCAAACGAATATACCATTTAACTTTGCGAGAGTATAAAATGTTGCCCTTCCTTACTTGTTATATTATTAAATATAATATTAAGACAATTAAACCTTTATTTTTTATTCTTGAGCTCAAATAAACAAAATCAGTATATTTGTATGTTTATTGCACCTTATCTTGATTGTCAAATTTAATGCTTCTGAGTTATTTTGCTGATAAATTATTGCGCAATTAGTAGTTTTCAATATAACCGTTATATGGGGAGTGAGTATGGTTACTATCTGATTTCACCCATTTTGACACCGTCTGAAGCGGCACGGAATATATTCTCCCATAGTAAGTTTGCTTAATATCTTGTTTGTTTCTGGGTGTTACAAACTTCGTGGTAAACTTAATAAACCATAAATAACAAATATATAAAGAAGACGCATTTTAACGCCATGTAACAGCCAAACCTTACAATATTCACGTAAGGAAGGGCTAACTTCGGGCGCACCTGACCCTTTTAAAGCCTTATAATTTGAGGGATCAAAGTCGAAGAAGAATTTTCAGGTGTCAGTAAAACTTTACTTTAAACCATGTTGCATATGAATATAATATTCGATATTAGACGAAATTGCAAATGGATTATATTTGACCAAAAGGCATTAGTTGATATATTGAGTACATGATATGTGGAACATATGGCCGGATATGTGAATTTCTTAACACCAAGATACGATATGACAATTTCTCGAAGGGAATCTAGAAGATTTATAGACTTTAAATTGAAATGAGAAAACATAAATATTCTTTAATAATAGCGATGAAGAAAATGTTCACCAACAAATTGAAAAATTATACTAGAACGCGAGCGCTATAAGTGCGTTCCCGCAGTCCAACAGGAAATGTTTGAACAAAAGACAGACAGTTTTACGAAACAACCGACACAGCGCTAGAAATTTTAAATTCTTTAACAACCCTTGAAGGTAGGCAAGAACCCTATATGCTTTTTAAAGCATTTCGAATCATAGTAATCGACATTTAAAACAAGTACGGAAGGCTTATGTTCTGGTGTAACAAAACATTTTATACTCTCGCAATTTGAAAATATCAAAGGCGGGGAAATACTTTCAGGTGTTCGTAAAACTTTATATTAAACAAGTAAGGAAAGGCTAAGTTCGGGTATAATCGAACATTTTCTGCTCTGGCACCTTGGAAGGAAAAAATACGGGGAAATATTTCAGGTGTTGGCAAAACTTAATATTAAGAAATTTTGCGAATGAATTAAGCATTCATTTTCTATAAAATCGTGAATGGATTATAATAAAATTTGGTGTTTTAGTAAGTTATATTACAGGTCATAGACTCACTGAGTTTCATTACTATATTTTACTTCGCAACGGCGAAAATAATATTAAAATCGGCTTTAAATGAGATAATGTGATATAAACTCAACCAAAGCGGATAAAGTTTATACATTGATGGATGTGGAATATGTTACCCAAATGATTGGAATTCATTATATTGGGGATATGAGATTTAGACCATTATCGGGAAAAATTGGGGATTATTAGTTTCATAATATTTAACATTAAACTTCAGTATATCCAACATTATACACCCAGTTAATTTTGCTAAGATATCTTACATAATGACCGATATATACGGTATAAAGGGAACCGGATGTTTGAAAATCCAGATATTAGTTATTTGGGGGCTTCACCCGATTTTATCCATTTTAGACGTAAAGATACACTATTATTAGAAAAACACGCTAACTCAAATGTATTAATATAACTCACATATTAGTCGAAATAAGCGGTATAAAATCGGCCGGAAGTTCGAAAATCTTTCTTAGGTATATGGGGACTAAGAGAAGTATTGTTTCGATTCAACTCATTTTTGACATACAGACATACTCTTACCCAAAAATGATTATCTTTGAATTCCTATAATCCATCTCACACATTGACCGATATTTTCGGTGAAAAGTCAACAATTGACACTGAGGCCCACAACTGCGGTATCTGCGAGATTGAAAACTTATTATCCGATTTTGACAATTTTTAGACTTGAAATGGCATACTTCAAAGGCACTATTTGTTCAAAGCTTTATACCGATATATTCATTGGTGCTTAACTTGTATACTGCAAAGTAAAAGTATCAAATGGAATTTAAATTTTTTGTTGTATAGAGAGTACGCGTGGTTGTTGTTTTATCTGATATGTTTAGTTAGTGAGTTATCAAACTATTAGTAGTTTCCATCAAAACTGTTATATGGAGAGTAGGCTGGGTTATCCAATGTCACCTATTTTTATATTTGTTGAAAGGATTTGTCCTGTGCAAATTTGGGTGATAAGCTTAAAGGGTGTGGGAGATATATACATTAAACCTATTTAAGGATGAAAACGTCGGACCTTCTTGGAACTTTTCATGAGCCCATTGAGTGAAGCGATGTCTCTTGGGCAGATCGAGCGGCTTCAGTCTTGCACAAGCTGTATTTTGTACGTTTTCAGTTTAAGATCTCAACGTAAAATGCGCCAAGTCGTTCCATTCGTTAGTCCGAGTTGTTGCGAACGGCCAGGATCGACTCTCCACGGTATTCGTGTACACTCTCAGCTACGGCCGCTATATTTTCTGCACTGCATGCTGAACGTGGTCTATTCGGTCGAATATTATCCAATAATGAATGCTCAAAATGACAAGGATACACTGTTATTAAATATTCTTTCTGAATTTCGTTGAGATTTTTTACATATTGACCGATAGATGCGGTATAAAGTCAACCGGAAGGACGAAAGTATACATAAAATAACATATTAGGTATATGAGGGCTAAGAGAAGTATTACCCCATTTTACTTGAGCGCGTTATTTGTGCAAAGTTTTATTCTGATAACGACATCTTTGCTGTTTGATTTGTATACTGTAAATTGAAAGAATAAGATGGAATTTAAGAGTTTGTTATGTGGGAAGTATGCGCATGCCCATTTTTACTGCGTATGATAGGAATATTTAGATAACCTCAGACAACCAATTTAGTTGAGTAGTTCCTGAGATATAGGATTTCACCTGAGGATAAACGGTTCCACTCCCATTGTTCCATTTTAATACCAGCTTCTATAAAGCCCATCCCTACCATCATGCTGGGGAAATTTAACGCTTGTGGCTCTTTTAGTCAATGAGTTGTCGCGCTTTAAGTAGTTTTTAACATAACCGCTATATGGGGAGTGGGTGTTTCATAAAGAAATCTCAATATTTACTCAAGTTATCGCTTACACAAATAGGACGATGGACAGATAGTCACTAGGATTTCAACTTGCCTCTTTATTTTGATCATTTATATATGTATATATAACCCTATATCTATCTCGATTAGTTTCAGGTGTTACAAACAACCGTTAGGTGAAAAAAACTATTTAACTCTGTAGCAATATAACGTGAGAGTATAAAAATACAGGCTTTTAATAAATTATGTCAGGAGACATGATATTACAAGGCCTGAACTTTCCAAAGATAACTGAAATGCTTATTTTTTACTAACCGGGAAGGGATATTATGCTTTGTATATGCCATAGAAAAAGATGCTCATTCTAATTTTTCAACAACTCACAGTTGATCACTAATATGATCAAACCAACTTTCGAACCGCTCAACAGTTTCCGAAACCAATTGGTGTTAGAAGAAGCTGGATGCGGATTTAAACACATAAGGAAGGACTAAGTATGGGTGCGGCGGAACAAAAAATACTCTAGCAATTAAAATAATCAGTTAGTAAACTATTAAATGCAATTTTCATTTTCTTATATACTAAAAAATGGAAACACTTGCAAAACTAACGTAACATTACAGTAACACTCAGCTAATTTCAATAATTTTTCTATATTTATATTTTTGATTAAATATTTAATAGGCAAAATTACAGTTAAATTTTAATATAGTAGTCATTAATAATAAATATTTACTGCATGCATTAAATTTCTTTATAAAATGGAAAATGATCGAATAAGCTGATATATTCGATTAATTTCTGGTAAAGGTAAAAAACATACATATGTACTCACAGTTCATTAACTATGTCCAGCCGACCTTGAGTAATATCTGTGCCCTCTCTATTTTTTGCGATACATTTATAAACACCATGATCATTAATGGTACAGCCTTTAATGATTAATGTGTGGTGGTCGCCATCGTTAATCAATTCATATTTATCGCCTTCGACAATAGGTTTATCCTGGAAGTACCACGACAATTCTGGATATGGTACGCCTGAAACAGTAACTCCAATTTTTGCATCGGTATTGATTAACTGTTGCTGATCGCATATCTTTTGAGTGAATAGTGGTCTTTTGTAAACTTTCCTTACGTTTAGTTCACAACCAGACGCATCTTCACCAAGAGGATTTGCTAAGAGGCAATTATAGGTACCAGAATGGCTGGATTCAGCGTTATTTATAATTAAACTAACATGTTTGCCATCACAGCTAATTAAAGTGCCATCGTCATTAAGAAGAGTATTACCATCTTTTGTCCAGATAATTTCTGGAGCTGGATTAGCCGTAAATGCTGCGGAGAGTTTAATTTCATCACCTTCATTTGCATTAACATCTCTAATAGATGACAAAAATCGTGGAGGCACTTCCGGCATTGATTCATCTGTTTTCAATGCGACTTGTAATCTCGCTTTAGACAGAGCCGAACCTTTTGCATTTGACGCCACTACTTCATACAAGCCGGAGTCTTTCAAATCAGCCTCTTTTATATGCAAACAATACGTATTGTCCTTTGTTTCTGCAAAAGTATGTCGCCCTTCGTTAGGCAAAATTTCTTGGCCATTATGAAACCATTTGATATCAGGCAGTGGATTGCTTAAAACTTTAACTTGTATTTGTACAGGAAAACCTTCAATACAATTAGTATCATGTAGTTCTCTTATAAACTCTGGTTCTTTTTCCATTGCACATACGGTTACCGTAGAACTTCCTTCTATCTCACCTTCTTTGTTAACTATTAAGCATTTGTATACACCTGCGTCTTCTGGTTGAACATTATCAATGCTACAAGACAAATGCGTATAACCACGTATTTAAGGAAAAACTTCAAAGATGCATATTAAATTTAAACTCATTTAGTCTATAAAACTCACCTTAAACCAATAAGTCCATTTGGATTGTTTATAAAATTTATGCTCGTACTTGGCTGCAAGGCAATTCCATTCTTAATCCATTTAATTTCAGGTGCAGGGAATCCAATTACTCGCGCTTGCAATTTTAATTGCTCTCCAACAGAGACTTTAACATCTTCTAAAGGTTCAACGAATGATGGTTGCTGGGCTTTAGCTGCAATATTTTATAAAATTTATTCGAAATGCTTATATGCATTACTATGCCGTCAAGTATATTCTGATTTTAAAGGCTAGTTCCTTAATTTCTAATGGATATACTTAGTTTTGTCATAAGTTCTGCTTCAAATTCAGGCCGTTAAAAATTAAACTATAATACATTCTTTTAATAAAGTTAATTTCATTTAGGGGACATTCGACAGGTTATGTCCTCCAACTCTGACCGCAACCTGTAGTCTAATGGGTTTAAATCTGAACTTCCAGATTCTGCATCAAATCGCAAATTGATCAAAGCAGTAGATGTTAGCAAGAGAGGTCGTGGAATCCCACTAATAACAAAGAGTCGCTATGAGAGATGATGTGAGTGCTCAATATTCTGTTTCATCAAAATACAATTTTTTATAAGCCACATCCAGGTGTCTTTAAAACGGTTAACACGAAGAATATCGTGAAAAAAAACTACGGTCTCATATTAGCAGACCGCAATATTGCTGAGAAAGTAGGTATTTAAAAAGACTGGTGGATCATATCAAGCATGAAAGAATGGGTAGGAGAAGGCTGATAAGCGCTGCGTTTGCTCACTCCGGACCAAACCCAACCATCAGACCAGTGTTTGACGCACTCTGGACTTCACCTGGCGTATCTGCTTCGAAGAAAGGAAAGGCTGTCCCGTGCCAAAAGTATTAGGCCAATTCGATAGGGTTCTCAACATTAATCCGATTCGATGCAAAAGTGATTGTGACTGTCAATGAAAAATGGATCCATTACGAGAACCCTGAAGGTAAGAAACTATATGTGAAATCTGACCAATCAGACAAATCAACGGCAAAGCCGAATACTTGTGACGCCCATGTAAAGCTCTATATTTTCTGGTATCTGAAGGGCTGTATTATGAGCTTCTAAACCCGGGTGAAACCTTTAATGGGAAACGCTACCGACAACAACTCATTAGTTTGAGGAGAGCGATTGCTGATGTTTGAAATTTGCGACTGAAAAGCCCATATTTTTCCATGATGACAAAGACTCATGTCGTAAGACCGGTTGAAAGCATTTTGGAAAAGAGCGGCTGGAAAGTTATAACTTCAGTAAGGCAATACTTTGTATTATTCAATGTACTGTACATGGTTTTCTTAAAACAAAAGTTCATATTAAAATAAAACCAAAAAAAATCGCATGAATATTTTATTATTCTAGTAAGCAACGAGGATACTCATTGATATACTCGAATATACATGAATGTGTATCCAGACTTAATATTATAAATGTGAATGTAAGTATGGTTGTTACATTTTCACTGTTAAACAACATAACCAACTACCCTGAAAATTTGTATGCATAATGCTAAAGGTAGTAGAAAGGACATATGATACATAGTTTTTTAAAACAGGAGTATTTTCTACGGATTGAGAAACATCTCTTTTGGCAGATTTGATTGTTTGTAAACAAATTCGAAAATTTGAAATGAAATGTATTAAAATATTTTGTGTTTTGTTCAAAAATTTTAAAATTGATCAAAACAAAAAATGCCAGGAAAGCATAAATCGAATATATCTAGAAGTTCCTCACGGCAATCAATAAAGAAAACGATGAATTGCAGCAAGTGCATCCAGATATGACTTTAACTGAACATATGTATGTATATATAAAAAAACGCTCATTGTAATCGAAAACAAAGTTTTAACAATGGTAGGAAAAAATTTAGATCATTTTGAAATCCAAAGTCTTAGACGAGGCAATAGGGATATTTTTGTTAGTGAAATTTGTCGAAAATTTAACTATGATTTTAGATAACTGCAACATCAAGTCACAAAGTTAATTCCAAAATTACTTAATCAAAATCACATCTTCAATTAAGCCTGAGGATTTTTTAAAAATAGTTGGCCTATCACTATCCGGTATACCGTCACATAAATTGAAAATAAATGCACCAATATTGCTTATAAGTAATCCAGATGCTCCGAGGTTATGTAATGGAGCAAGGCTTCGGATTACAAAATGGGACAATATATTTTTGAAGCCACTATATTCACAGGTGTCAACTTTCGTTGTTGATTTACGTGAGTACCAGCCGGCGACGGCCTTACCTCACGGTGCTCCAAAGCACAACGTATCAATACAATGCGTTGATAAGCGCCCCAAATAATACGAGCTATTTGCAAGTATTAATTTGGTTACCAGTGGCAGTGTGTCTGGCCACACACTAATATCTTGGTAAGATTCGAGGCCGACCTAAAACCTCTTCCGTTTTCGGGTACGGAACCCAGTTGCTTTTTGCAACTTCTTTTTAGAACTGAAAAAACAGTTAGGCTGAATTTTCAGTTCTTCCTGCATTTAGGTTTTAACCACAGCCACCGCGAATCTCCCCAAAGGGGCCATAACCCAATGAGCAGATTGGACCGAAGTCCAAGGGCTTTCTGCTCCCCGTGTGGCGAAATGACCACTCAATACCCCCTCACCGTAAGACAATGTCACACTACACCAATTCACATCAACATCACCACACCTACTTACCATACATTCCCATACATTCCACACCTACATACCATACATTCCACATCACTACACCATGCACCAACACGCACACAAACACAACTTAACACCGATCACACCACCATGAAGACATCAGCAGATATATAAGGGACTAAAAGTTTTAAATTTAAATATTTTAATACTTAAAAAATTTTCCGGCAATACCCCTTACGCTTAATTAAGCAGGATTGCGTAAAATATGTGAGCAAAGGTAAAGTCAAACTTAAAGCATAAAATGCAAAATAAATATACATACATATATACAATAAACGAAGTTAAACGAAAAAAAAGAGAAAAAAAAAATATATATACGTACAAAAAGGAGTACTTACATTTACTTCTAACCTATATATAACAATTACATATATAAAATTATATACAGCGTGCATAATTACGTATACATACATATGTATTTTAAATATTAAATATTAATATCGTATATCACATATCGTATTTTTACATTCATATGTATATATTATATACATCATTTATACATGCAATTAAAACCTTACATACAGTGCTTACGGAAAATTGCGCCATTACCTGCTATTGCCAATTTCTCTCTCGCGCTCTTTTACGATTACACATAATTCGCTTTTTAACATTACATTAAGTATACAATCCGCTCCGGTACAACCAATCGGAACATTTCGCGTAAATACGGTTCGGTAAATAAAACGCGGATTATTTAATAAAAATCATACTAAATTATATAAAAAATACAGAATTTTGAACAATATACATACATATTGGTTCAAACTAAATTTATATTTTATATTCAAAAGTCCACTTTGGCATATAGGTATAAAAAAAAATTGATAAAAAAATTTTCAATAAATTGGTAAATAAAATTAAATTTTAAATAAATGCGAACTGGTATCTATAACCACTAAATCCAGGTATTTCAGTTATTTACTTAAAATTAAGAACGCTAATTAACAAAAAAAATTTTTACGGTTATACATATATACTTAAATTCATATTAATTTTGTTCGAAGTGAAAAACTCTATTCACTAAAAAGAGCTTTCGTTCACACATTTATATATACGAAGATATTTCCTGAATTATCCATCCGTCGACACTGAGGAATTGTTAATTTATTTCATACAATTTCTAAATGAGCTCAGACTCGAAAGATTCAAAAACAACACAGTCTCTAAAAGTACCAAAAATGATTTCGGACGAAAAAAGTCCATGTACACCTGCAGAAGCTACACGCTCAAAGCAAGGTGCTACAAATCAAAAAAGGGGTAGAGACATTTCTTACACAAAATTCATTTCGGAAAGTGACAGTTTAATAAGATACGGCACTCGATTCTCATCTTCGCCGATTCAGGACAATTCTGAATCGGTATTAGAAATCAAAAGAGACAATCTTGACAATTTTTGGTCAAGTCTCCAAGCTGCACATGACGCAATTGTAGAATCTGACGACTCAGATCTACCAGAAAATTTCAAATCTTCGGCTTACGCCAAATACGAAAACTGCTTAGATCAGTTCAAAGATACTAAAGCAATGATTTTCGATCAGCTGAAGCTAATAAAAGCAATTGCACATACTCCACATCAGCGAGTAGAGCTGCCACAAGTACAAAGTTATGAGGCAAGTTCAGGCATCCATCTCAAGGTGCCCACATGTGATACAGAAATCTTTCATGGTGGTTATCAGCAATGGCCGTCCTTCCGGACCATGTTTACAGCCGTTTACAGAAACCACCCAAAATTAACAAATGCACAAAAATTGTATCACCTCCGATACAAAACAAAAGGTCAAGCAGGCGTCATAGTCAAACAGTTCGCACTAAATGACGATAATTTCAATCTGGCTTGGGAAGCTCTAAAAGCAAGATACGAAAATGAAAGAATATTGGTCGATAAGCAAGTAACGATACTAATGAACTTGCCTAAAATTCAGAAAGAAACAAGTGATGAATTTATTAGACTACAATCCACTGTTTCTAATTGTTTGTCGGTTTTAACCACACAAAATATTCACACAGACTGCTGGAACCCTATTCTGGTACATATATGCACCGCGGCATTACCAGAAAAATCATTACTTTTGTGGGAGCAATCGCTCTGATCACGTAAAAAATGCCCAACGTGGCAACAGATGAAAGACTTATTAATAACTTAATACGAAATCGCAGAAAGACGAAAAACAAAAAAATGGTCAGAACGAAAACCGTTCAACTTGACCTAAATAGAAGCTTCCACAAACCCCCAGCCAGTTGTAACAACAATTTAAACAGAAATCAAACGTTCACATCCGAACAGTACAAGCAAATGTCATGCGAACTATGTACAGGGGGCTCAAATCTTGTGAGAGATTCAAAAAATTTAATATTATCGACCGAAACAATTTTATAAAAACAACAAGACTTTGTACAAATTGCCTATCACATGCACATACACTTAAAGAGTGCGAAAGCAAATTTAATTGCGTTTATTGTCATAAACGACATCAT